TGCCGAGCTTGTCGTCTTCGTCGTCCGCGGCGGTGGCGGCGGTCACAACAGCGGGAGTTGCTTCTGGTGCGGAGGCGGGATCGGCGGGGAGTCTCGTTGTGCCGCCCAGAGGAGAAGGAGAATCACCGCCGCTAGCTACCGGCGCGGCGGCGGGAGGTGGCTCGAGCGGCAGCCTGGCGGCCGCGGAGGCGTCGGCGTCGGCGTCGCCGGTAAGCGGTGGTGGCGACGCTGAGGCTAGAATAGAGGAGCCTCCGAACGGCGGAGCAGCCGCCGCCGCCGCCGCGGACAAGACGCCAGGGGGAGAGAGAGAGAGCGGCGGAGCCCCCGCGCGGGATTGTTTAGATGTTTGTGGGGGCGGCGACGGGGGCGGGGCGAGAAGCGAGGGCGTGCACGTGGAGGAGCCGTGGGATAGGGCGGGCGCTTGCGGGCTGTGGCTGCGCTTGGTTGTCGTTCCTCTGATGGTGGAGTGTCTGGAGGGCTCTTATCGGACGAAGCTGCTGGCCCTTCACATGACACAGGTAAGGCGATGAGGCGAAGAAATATGTTGCCGTTGCTTCCGTCGTATTGGTGGTCGTCGTCGCCATGGTTTTCATCGTTGTTTGTGGTGTCTTGGTTGTGTTGGTGCCGTGTGTCGTTTTGCAAAGGTTGACGCAACTGTTGCCGTGCACTGCTTTTTTTTTTTTGGCCTGCGGTGTTTGCTTGTCTGGCACGCTCGCCCACCCTGCTTCTTCCACCGTGTATCCTGTGCTTGTTGCTCGAGGAGACCTTCCCGCTCGAAAAATGAAGTGCGTTTCTCACCCTCGTGGCCCGATCCACTTGCCCTTCCCTCATACCCATCATATCTAAACTACCTTTCCCCTCGTTCACCACGGCCTTCCTGGCTCTGGGGATCTTTTCTCGCTCCCCTCTCGCCCCTTCTTCCACGCGTGCGCGCAAAAAATAACAATAAACAGGCCGCGTTTCGCCTGGGGGTCACCACCCCGGCGGTGATGTCTTCGGTGGTGGTGCCCGTCCTCCTGCGGGGTCTGCGGGACCCCCTGCCCAACGTCCGGCTATCCGCGGCGCGCGTGGCCGACGACATCCTGTCCGTGGCGGCCATGTCCTCCTGGCCTCCCCCTGGGGGGAGGGGGGGTGGGTCCCCGGCGGGGGCGGCGGCCCCTCCTGCGGGAGAAGAAGAAGGTTTAGCGGCGAGTGGCGGGGGTGGTAGACTTGAGGGTGATGGCACCGACGGTGACGTGTTGGCACGCGGCGGCGGTGCGGGCAGCGGGGGGGACGGGGAGTGGTGGGGGTGCGGCTGGGAGGAAGTGGAGAGCCGGTTGGAAGCGGTTAGCGGCGGGGATCCGGACAGGGATGCGGCGTATTTCGCCACCCAGGCGCTCAAGCCAAAGTGGGTTGGAGATTCCATTAAGAGGAAGTAAAGTCCGCCCCCCCCCCCCCCCCCCC